GTCCCACTTCAACGACAGCCCTGTTATGGGTTGAATTTTTTTTTCCCCTCAAAGGATATGTTGAAGTCCTACCTGCTCTTCTCTGCCTCAAATTGTGCCCTTACTCAGGAATTGGTTAAAATGAGTTCATGCTGGTATACAGTGGCCCCACTTCAATATGACTAGTGCCCTTTTAAGAAGACAGCCATGTGAAGACAGAGACATTTGGGAAGACACCATGTGACAAAGGCAGAGATTAGAGTCACGCAGTTGCAAGCCAAGGAGGGCCAATGACTGCCAACAAACCACAGAGGCCAGGAAGAGGCAAAGCAGGAACCCTCTATGGGTCTCAGGGCCGACATGTGGCTGCCAACACACTGGATCTCTGGCCTCCAGAATGAGGAGGCAATACATTTCTGTTGTTTTAAGCCTCCCAGTTTGTGGTACTCTGTTACAGCATCCCTAGGGAGCTAATAAAAATCTCAAATAAGTTAATGATGGACAGCTCCTGGATCAATCCAAGGAAAAAAGTACTATGGACACAGCAACGTTGTGCTCTCTGAGATGTGAACTACCTCTGAAACACTCAGCAAGTGCTTCCCAACAGCCTCTCAGGCATGCTATGAAAACAACAGCAGCGCCTGATCACAGCACAAAGGACAGCAACACAGCCACAAAGGCAGCATTACAGTGTTTCTAACCTGATCTTTCATTTCCTTTTTCCTGAACTGCAGTGCCTGCACCCTAGGCTCTTCTCCAGGACTTCTCAGCGCTGTGGTCTGGCTGTGATGTAGCTCAGCAGAAGTTGGACGAAGACCCTAGTTATTGAATGAAATATTCACAAAGCATACTTGCATTTTTAAAATGTATTTGGATTGACCTTGACTTTTTCCTGTAGACAAAAATCCTATCACCAAACAAAAAATTGCGAATTTTTTGTAGTAAGTACAATTTTCTTAAGCATTAAATATTAAATAAAAATTTAAAACTCAACCACAATGTTGATTATTCTCAGCAATTGTTATTTTATGGTATCATTTGAGACCCCTAGATTGATATTCTGAATTGGTAGATTATAACTGTGAAATTTAAGCCCTGTAACAGTTTAGCAACACCAGAGTATGAGATTAAGTGGAACAGAACTACAGCTCTTGATCTGTTTGAAGTAAGAGGGATACAAACGGGATGTGTGGCACCCAGATCCAGAATTCTGACACAGTACTTAAGAGTAAAGATTAACTTTCAATTCAAACAGTAAGATATAACAGACATTTTTTAAAATGTGTAGAAGATTCTTTTAAAAATAAAATAAATAAAATCAAAGCACTGTAGCACAGAAGGGATCCTAAAGTTCATCTACTCCAAAATTATCATTTATAGAAAAGGAAACTGAGGCTCAGAGCTGTTCATGAACTGTCTGAGGTCACAAACCAAGTGATGGAGTTAGGGATGAAACTAGGCTTCCTGTACTCTGATTCAAGCCTATTCTCATTATTCTTCTTTAGCTTAAAAAACTAAGGTCTAGTGGATGGGTAGTCTTCACTTTCTAGTAGAAAGAATTTTTTAAAATTAATTTTATTAGTACATTTTAGTATATAATATAATGACATTCATCATTGGAAATTTGTACCTTTATGTAATCTATCTTAGTTCTTATTTTTTCCTCATTCCCCTGAAATGAACTCTGATTTAAGGATCCATGAATATCTGTGAACACAGAAAACTATTAGGAAATTCTTGAAGACTTCCATATTTGGTGTTTCACTTACCAATTGCTTTTCCACTTTCAATTTATATTGTTGAGCTTCAAATTTCCTCTGAAGGAACTCCGGGGGCCTTAGGGAATAAGAACATTAGTTTGAGTGCAAATGTTACAGTTTGTATCTAGATGTACCCCCCAAGGCCTCATGGGCTCATAGGTGGGGCTTTTGGGACGTGGCTGGACCATGGGTGTGGGATGCTCATCACTGGAGTAGGCCACTGATGGGTTTAAAGCTGGGTGTGATGTTGGGAGGTGAAGCTTGGTGGGAAGAGGTGGCTCACTGGGTGTGTCCTGGAATGATATATATCCCTCCACCTGCCTTCATCCTGCCCTGCTTCCTGCCTGCCAAGCCATGTACTGTTTCTCCTCTGCCATGTCACCTTGCCTTGGAGCCAGCCATTAGTTAAGGTCTCTGGCTCTTGGTTCCTTATCTGTAAAGTGGACGCAGGGCCATTTCACAGTAGAAAAAATCAGAGCTTCAAAGGCATGTGGCCAAACCTGTACAAAATGCCCTTCCTTCATCCCATGGCTTGGAATCGGAGCTCCAGCAGAGAGAAAACGGGGGGGGGCAGAACAATGAGGAGGGAAGAACTCAGTCCAGAGGGATTCCTGGGATACAGTAGGCTGGGCTATTATGGGCAGTGACATACCGGGAAGGATTTCACGTAACAGCTTGGGAGTCAAAATCATATATAACCAAAATAATTGCTACTTTAACAACATTCTTACCGGCAGAGTGGAAGACATTTTCCCAATGGCTAAAAAAGAGTTTTGTGGCTGCTTCAGGTCACATGTAAAATGTATATTACAACTTGAGCTAATAGAACACATAATTTTGATGATCCTGAGGGTAATTTAAAAGCATGTCATGATGGATAAAACCATACCTACCAGCAGCACCCAGTATTTTTAAAAATAAAACATCTACTTTTCACATCATGGATTTCTGAAGAAATTATTCTTTTACCACTCTTATCTAATTTTTATTAAATATTGATGATATTGCCATTGTATAGTCTCTTGTAATTTTTTTACAGTTCATCCAAAAAAAAAATTTTTTTTATGGTACCTGGGATCAAACTCAGGAGCTTGCACTTTCGAGGCAGGTGCCGGCACCACTGAGCTAAATCTCTGGCTTCATCCAAAATTTGAGTTGTCTAGCACACATAAGGCCCTAGGTTCTAAGCTTACCATAAATCAATCAATCAACCAATAACCAGAGATACCAGAGTTAGTGAATTCCCATCCCTCAACAACAGCAAATGGATGACAAAACATTGTTTAAATAAACAATGGTCAGGCTGGAGGTATCGCTCAAGGGTAGAACACTTGCCTAGCATGTGTGAGGCCCTGGACTGTACCTCAGGACCCCAAAAAACAAAAACATCTCTCAGACATAGGTCTTCAGGCCTATGATGGGTATCAATTGTTCTGGACACAAGAATATTGAAATTAGGGTTTAAAAAATTGAAAATATTGTAGATCTGCAGACATTTGTTACAGAGTAAACTTTTAAAAATCTATAAAAGCCACAGAAGGGTCAAAATGAAAAAGAGCCAAGGGAACCATGGTTTAAGTATTTAAATGGGAGATTTTAATAGTTCTTCCTGGATTATTTGTTTAAGGAGAATTTGTAAAGATTTCAGAAAAATGTTGATAAATGAGGCAGGAGGATCATTTGAGCCCAGAAATTCAAGGCAGCCCAGGTAGCACAGTAAGACTCTGTCTTTAAACAAACAAACAAACAGAATGCAGAAATATAAAGATATTTTCAGAAGACCAAAGCTTACCATTGAGAAGGTGATGGACCATGAATTTCTTCCTTATTGTAACTCTCCTCGGTTCCAGAATCTTCCTGAGAAACACAGTGATAACTAGCCTCACGGGCCCTCTTTCTCAAAATGTCAAGTTCAGCATAATAAAAATCATAATGCCCACAAACTGCAGCAAATTTGGGTCTCTCTATCATTTTTATCTGAGAGATTAAAAAGAAGAATAAAGGCATATTTTAAATACATAATACAAATCTATAATTCACAAATTGATAGTAGCCATACCTAAGACAAGGCATGAAAGGTGTATATTTGCTGTTTTTATTCTAGACATGTTTTCAGAGTAAAATAATCTTAGAGTCACCAAAACCTAGAGTTGAAAAGATATCTCAGAAGTCTAAGTACTTGTAGTATAGTAGTTTAAAATTTTGCCAGTGTGTGGCTATGAGTCATGTACACTTCAAGGCTAGTATGTGAAAAATACTTTGCTAGCTAGTATGTCTAGCCAAGTTCTGAAATTAAACTGATAATTACTGTTTTCTATTTTTCATAAGCTTACTGATACCTTATTGTACTTTATGAAAGAATAATGCTAATATGCAATTCACAAAGTCGTGGGTTTGCAACACTCATGGTTTCTGATAAATTGAATCAATGCAAAATGGTGTAATGGCTGGAAGAAAACAAGCTGCTGAGTTGCTGAGAGTTAGTCTTCCCTAGAAAACACTAAGAAGGATATCTACCAGCTGGAACAAGCACATCACCACCTCAAACACTTCTGCTCTTTCCAACCAGAATGAGAAGAGAAACAGAAACCCAAGTTTATCTAACCTTAAACCAGGGCAGAGGTCAAATAAACTAGAAGATAAGAATCTGAGCAGATTAAGACAAGAAAGCCAATTAAGATCTTGTACTAAAGAGAAAGATGTCCTCAATTTCACAAGAAATGCGACACCTCTGCCTACTTAGCAGTTGTTAATAAAAGAGGAAAAGAAGATCAAACTGCTGGAAAGGCCAAAATTGGGAATGTGAACCAAATGATTCAAACTTAAATGTCCTCACTACAAAGAAATAATATGTCATATTCTTTGTTCTTGCCTTACATACATATTAGATTAAACCATGTGGAATTGTGGACATTTGATCATCTTTAACCTACAAAAATGGTATGTAAGCATAAATTTTATTTTTAAAATTTTTAGAGAAGTAGTTTTCTTCATTTTACAATTTTACCAGTACATAACCCAGAAGAAAGTAGTACTGATTACTTGTTGAAAATGGTTAGAAGTAGAGAAAAGCATGGGAAAGAAATGAACAACTTCTTTAAGATTTCCTCTAAAATCTCCATCAGTAATGACAGTATCCAAAGTGGTTCCTGTGAAGACCCATTAATTTCACTGCATCAGCAATTGTTCAAAAGATGAGCAAAGACGTCAGCTTGACAATTCTATTTTAACCCATCCTTGACTCTTTTATATGTTTTCTCTCCTACAAGTCTTATACAGTGTCCTCCGTATCAAAACATACTTTAAAAAATTTATTTAATAAAAGTAATGCATATTTTATCAAATGAAGGGTGAAGGAGTCCAATTGCCACCATCCTAGGGTGAGAAGTGACCACTTTAAGCCTCTTCCATGCTGCTATGCTTTTACACCTGCTAACGATGTATATATTATCATGGGTTAATAAGGCCCAGTAACCGTGGCTACACCCCATAACTCCCATCATTCTTCAGCCCTGCTCCTGTCCTTTCTCAAGCCTTGTTCCTGGCAGGTGGCCACAACTCCTTTTTACTGAACTCTCCCCCTTGAAAGTCCCATTCTGAGCTTTTCCTTTCACAGACCCCTTTTATGCCCAGGACACTATAAAAGACCTTAGAGCCTGTTTGAGAGTTACTGCTCTGGTCTAAGTGCCAGGGTGGTCCCTCTCAGGTTTGTTCTGAAATAAACTTGTCCTGACTGGCGAAGGGGAATAAATTAACCAATAATCCCAACAATCTGTTTATATACCTGATAGGTCTCCCACCACCTCAGCAGCTATTATGTATAGTAGCTGCCCTCTTCCTATGGTGCCTTGCCCCCTCCCCTGTGTGACATCATGCCAAGATGGTTGCTCCCACCAAAGAACAAACCCTTCTTCCCAGCATGCCCCTGGTTCCCACCTAGACAGTAACCTAATACTCGCTCACCTCCTACCACCTAGTGACATCACCGGCTCCTCCATTCCCTAGTCACTACCTCACTCAACCCCGCCTCAGCCCCTACAAGCCCCACCCCAGTCTCTATAAAAGACTCCCTGCCCCAGCCATATTGCTTTTGTCTCTCCTTTGTTCAGAGACAGCCCGGCAGATCTATTCCCCTAATAAAGGCTTGTTGTGGCCTGGTCTGGTCTTGGTCTTCGGCCCTTTTACCTGACAATACCAACACATTTTTAAGATGTTTATATATTGAATAAACATTTAATAAATGTGCTTCTAAAATATTCCTCTATACCAGTGATGGTAAAACTTTTAGAGCTTTTTTTTTCTTTTTTTTTTTGGTACCGGGGATCAAACTCAGGACTTTGTGCTTGGGAAGCAAGCAACAGAACCACTGAGCTAAATCCCCGGCCCAAAACGTTTAGACCTTTTAATGAAAACAAACAGCCCCCTGCAGCATGTGTACCATAGGTTCCCCACCGCTGCCTCATGCCTTCTTTAAAAATACAAGTTTTAAGTTCAATCCCTGGTACCAAAAAAATAAAAAATAAAAATACAAGTTTTGGGGAGCTGGGATATATATAGCTCAGTGGTAGAGTGCTTGCCTAGCATGAGACAGGCCCTAAATTTGATCCCAGCAGCTCAAAAAAGAAAAAAAAACCATGGCCATTTTATCATTTATATACCAGAAACATTTCATTAGCATGACCTAAAAGATCTAACACTCTATTAAAGTGGATTCAAATAACTACGGATGAAGAAAACTTAGGTGGCCAGGCACGGTAGTGCACACTTATAATCCCCTGCTACTTTGGAGGCTGAGGCAAGAGGATCCTAAGTCAACCCCAGCCTAGGCAATTTAGCAAGACCCTGATTCAAAATCAAAAGCAAAAAGGGCTAGGAATGTAGCTCAGCACTCCCTGATTTCAATCCCCTGCACTAGATAAAACAAAGCAAAACAAAGAAAACAAGCAAACAAACAAAAAAACGTAGGGAAAGATCTATTACTATATAATAAAAACTTCTCACACTCGGAAGGCTGACACCGGAGGATGACAAGTTTGTTTGAGACCAACCTGGGCTACATGAGACTCTGTCTCAAAATAAAAAAGCAAAACACACACACTCCTCAACTATATATATAACATGTCAGAATTTACAGTATGAAATGCACTATTTTATGTTACTTATCTCATACAGAAAAACCTTATTTATACAAGATTTTGTAACTTTTAATTACAAAAAGAAACTTATAATTGTAAGAAAATGCAGTTTTGGGGTTTTTTTTTTTGAGACAGGGTCTCACCACATAGTTCAGCTCGTCCTGAACTATGTAGCCCAGGCTGGCCTTGATCTTGGGGTAATCCTCCTGCCATAGCCTCCCACATGCTGAGATTACAGGTGTGTACCACCATGCCCAGCAGCACTCACTGCTTTTAAAATTAGAATGAAGTACCAAATAAAGTACACTCTGATGCTCATTACAGAATGATTATAAATACAAGACCAGTGGGCTCCAAATTCATTAGCACCAATGTGCACTGATAGTCTTCTCAGGGACCCACAGCTAAAGAACCAGATAAGGGCTCAGCACAACTTACAGGTATGGGCTTCTGGGCTCCAGCTGGTGGTCTCCATTCACTCCTATGTAACATGTCCTTCCTTTTAACTGGCACTGATATCCTTGCTCTTGGTGGATGCTTCCCCTGAAATCTCACTTTCTGTACTTTAGAATCTTATTTAACCAAAACAAAACAAAAATAAGGTTTTTAAAAAATTCTACCCCTTTACTATTGATACTTGCAAGAGTATAATCATAAGTTGCATTTTATAACCCAGTAAGAATACTTCAGCCATAAATATTTTACACATAGAGAAGTACTGATTAAATATTAATAAGCATTTTCTGTGAATGCAGAAAATAATTTTCTAGGATTCCTTCACATATTTCTAGCAGTTAGCAAGCCCGCTTGTTATTAAAAATGAAGAACTGATGTTAATATTTACAGAAATACTATACATGGGATAAAGATAAAAGTAATTAAATGTAGTCATGATAGATGGGTTATCAGACCACACCATTCACCATTCTTCTTGCATTATGGCTGGAAATGTATGAGTAGGTCTTCCAATATGTTTATCTTTGCCTCTATCAAAATTTGTTCTTGCTTTCCTGCCTTTCCTATATCCATTATGTGAACAATGCTATTTGGCAGGGAAGTGCATGTTGGTACCCAGGGATTGGAGGGTGGAATCAGGAGGATCAAGAGTTTGAAGCCAATCTGAGCAACACAGAAGGTTCCAGCCAGCCTAGACTACAGAGTGAGTTCCTTTTTCAAAAGAAGGACCCGAGTTCGATCCCCAGTACAAAAAAAAAAGGAGAGAGAGAGAGAGGGCGAGCAGGAGGGAAGAGGGACAATATACTTTTTCTCATCCTCAACTTATCTAGTTTCTAAATACTCTCAATCTTGACTGATATGTAACAAATGTCAAATCAAATTATTATCATCATTATTATTTGTAGCACTGGTGGTTGAACCCAGGACCTTGAGCACACTGGACAAGTGCTCCACCACTGAGCTACACCCCCAGCCCTTTTACTTTTCTTTTGGCACCGGGGATCAAACTCAGGTCCTTGTGCTTGCGCAGCAGGCAGCGAAACCACAGAGCTAAATCCCCAGCCCCTTTCTTATTTTATTTTGAGACAGGGTCTCTTTAAGGTACTCAAACTTATGATCATCCTGCCTCAGTCTACCAAGTAGCTGAGATTACATAGGTGGGCCACTGTGCTTAAATCAAATTCAATATGGCACAGAGGATTACTCATTTTCTCTATATAACTTTCCTTAGCTTTCATTTCTCTATCACGAGGATAATATTTCCCTATCACAGGTTCCTTGGAGAGGCTGTCTACTCCTTCCCATCTTACAAATTCAGACATTTGGTTATAGCTAAAACTTACTGCTCTTACCTTCACAATATCACAGAATTAATCTTTCTCTTCCATAATGTGCACCCTATTCCCATACTCACACATTCAGCATTTCATCACTTCATCTGATTCTTTTTGTTTCATTTTGCTTTGGTTTTGAGACAAGGTAATCCTGGTGGCTGTGAACTTTCTGTGTAGCTCAGGCTGGCCTTGAACTTGAGATCTTCTTACCTTGGCCATGAATTCTGGGATTACAGGCATGCATCACCACACTGCCTATACTCTGATTCTGGACACTATGTCTAAAATTGCGCTCTTCACTTATCATTACCATAAAATATAACTTGCCCTCTTTCCTTGGATCTCACACTGTTTTCCAAGATTTTAATTTCAGCTTCAATGAGCCTTTGCAAGAGAATTCCTTTTTTTTTTTTTTCGTATTTTGAGATAAGGTCTCACTATGTAATTCAGATTGGCCTTGAACTCACTTTGTAGGCTAGGCAGCCCTCCTGCCTCAGCTTCCTAAGTGCTGGAATTACAGAAGTGCACTACCACACCCAGCATATGCAAGAGAATCCTTAATCACCAGCCTATCCTATTTCAGAAAATAAGCTTGTTTTATTCAGCCATGTTTGTGTGTGATCCTTCTTCCACCCATCCCTTCACCACATATAAGTTAAATTTGGATTTAACCTCTTCTTGTGTTGTGCTTCCTCAAGGTTTCCTGACTAATGAGAAGAAAGGAACTGAAGCCTCTGGGTCACACCTGAGCTACAAACACCCATTAGTTTCCTGTGATTTCCCTCCTGTTTTATTGCTCATATTTTCTAAATGTCCTTCTTCAATATATTTAGTGAAATTTCCCCACTCGTGTTGTGAGTAGTATGACTATGTGAGACACTTGTAATACATGCTTTTTTGATGTCAAATAGTTAGTGCTGACATCAAAACAAAATTTGAGAGAGGCTTGTCTCAGACAATGGCAGGAAAACCCAGCCATCAATGGTTATGAACCATAAACAGGTCATAAATGCTTTTCTTCCTTCTTTTTTCCAGGACTGCTGATGCAGCCCAGAGCTTGTTGCTAGGGAAGGGCCACACCCAGCCCACAGATGCTGTTCAGGTGCAGTTAAGTCATTCTCACCCTGGACCACTCTCCCCGAAGGCTGCACAGCTGAGGACCTTGCTCTGCACGTCAGTGTGGGGGTGAATTCTTCCTGAATGACCTGAAAGCCAACAAATGCATCAAGGACCTGTAAACTGACATCTCTGCCAAAGGAAAAATGGGATCACCTCAGAACTCACCTCTGGAGTCAAGTACTTGGCAATTAGCTTCTCTAGAAAGGGCCTCTTCAAGATGGAATTGATAGAAGGGCGATCCTGGGGTGATACTTTAAAGAGCTGAGGGACCAAGGACTGGAGGTCTCGGGAAAACCTGGGTGATATCGGAGGGACTCGTGCTTGACAAATCATCCGAACCAGCTGGTGAAGGTTGTTCCCCTCAAACTGAACACATAGAGTCATTACACTACATCAGAGAAAAGTTAAATGCTGGTATTAACGTAATACATATTTCAAGAAGCAAAATCATCTTTTCACTGCAGCTAGACGCACTATGATCCACCCTACATCGCTGCTATCAACTAATCTTTCCTAAGTAGATATGCTGACAGTTACTCAGATGCCATGTTATTCAAAATGAGTTTTCTATGCACACCTGGCTATCCACATAATTTGAAACAATCTAATAGAAGCGAAAGTTAACTTTTTTCTTCCCGAAGTTAATTTCACCTATATGATTTAAATAATTCAAGATGCCAGGTGTGGTGGAATATGCCTATAATCCCAGCACTCAGGAAGCTGAGCCAAGAGGATCACCATGAGTTTGAGGTCAGCCTTGGCTAAATAGTTTGAGGTCAGTCTGTGCTACATAGCAAGACCCTATCTCAAAAAAACAAAGAAACAAAAATAAGTAAATAAATAATTAATTAATTCAAGATTAGTCTCATGAATAACATACTTACAGGATGCTTGAGTGTGCAGAGTTCATATAAGACACAGCCAAGAGACCAAACATCCCTAGGGAACATAAGAGTTTACATGCCAAGGAAATATCCACAATTCTTACCCTTATAGTCCCTTATATGTGTGTAGCTTTATTTTATGTAGACTAATCAATTTTTACAAGTGCTTCCAGATATATATCATCACTTCTAACAACCATTTGTAGTTTGTCAGGCACCAACCAGTATCAGATAAAAGATACACAAACTTCGCTACAATCTTATGGATCAGTATTTAATTCAACTACATGTGCCTAACAAAAATGTGTGGATGATCAAATTTTCAGCAATTTGAAGGAGGGAGGCAGGACTCAGAAGGTAAAAGGTGGTTGATTTTGAAAGGTATATTCTACTCAAGGCTCTTGAAGGAACCAAAGTTATATTAAGTGATATATGAATGTAGTATCTGTTCTCAATAAATATTTGAAAAATGTACTTGCAATATGATCTGAGATTCATCCTTTACAGACTTAGTAATTTGTGTGTGTGTGTGTGTGTGTGTGTGTGTGTGTGTTTGTGTATGTATTGGTGATTGAACCCAGAACCACATGTGTTCTAGGCAGGGACTCTACTATTAAGCTACACCCCATCCCCATTAGTAGATATTGATACATGACCGGTTTACGAAGTTACTTTATAGAACAAAAAGCATAATTAAATGTAAAAAACAAAAGAAAATGTGAGATATGGAGGAGGTCTTCAAAGACCCAAACCACAGATTCATTAAAGAGACGTATAGTAGACTGGGGGTGTAACTGAGTGGTAGAGTACATGCTTAGCCCTGGGTTTGATTCAGAGAGAGAGGGAGGGAGAGAGAAAGAGGGAGAGGGAAAGTAAGAGGGAAGCAGAGAGGGAGAGAGGGAGGGAAGAAGAGAGGGAAAAAGAGAGGGAAAGGGAGAGAAGGGAAGGAAGAGGGAGAGAGAGAGGGAGGGAGGAAGGGGGAGGGGAGGGGGAGGAGGAGAGAGAGAGAGAGATGGGTGAATGTATGAAAACAACCCCACTAGCTAACAACACTTTGGGTGTATGTTGTATATGTGTGTGTCAGAGAGAGAAAAGGAGTGACACTAAAGATTTGACAATAGAAGGTGAGTATAAATTGGTAGGAAACAAATCTAAACTGCTTTCTAGAATTTCTAGAAACTCAGTGGCCATTTATCAGAATATTGTTTGGTGCTTATTCCTTGGCCCAAAACTTCTATTTCCACAGCACCCTCTGTGGCCACCCTAGTAATGTACATGGCAGGAGGTCTCAGGAAAGTAATGAAGCCACTTGGGGCTAAATGGGGCACGGTTGGTGAGGACTATGGCTATCAGGGTATGATTTGCTAATCTAGGGATGCCAGTGGCTGCCCAGCTGATTACTGCTAAGATCTTCCAATTTTCAGAAGCACCAAACCTTCATGTTTTGGACTCTTTTCTTTCTTTCTTTTTGTTTTGTTTTGAGACAGGGTCTCATTATGTAGCCCAGGCTGGCCTCGAACTCATGGTGACCCTCCTACCTTAGCCTCCCGAGTGCTGGAATCATAAGTGTGCACCACCATGCCTGGCTCTGGAATCTTTCAATATTTAAACGTTGACTCCAATTCTTAAAAAGCAGTACAAGGAAACAAAACAATGCTACTGACCCAGGACTCAACCTGGTAGGGCTAAACTCCACTCTCCACTGTCTACCTTCTTTCCAGTATCATCCCAGCTATGTTACTGCACAGCTTGAAGCCAAACTCACCAGGGCAAATGGGTGTCATATATACATCTCCAAGGGGGGGGGTGCTAAATATATCTGCATGTTTTTCCTTTTTTTTTTTTTTTTTTGAGACAGGGTCTCACTATGTAGTTCATGTTGGCTTTGACCTCACTACATAACTCAGGCTGGCCTTGAACTCATGGCAAGATCCTGTCTCAAAAAACAAACAAATAAATAAGGCCAAAAGCTTCAGGGATAGTCACTGGGATCCCCATTTCACACCAGGAAAAAGTGAAATTACAAAAGTACCAGAAGAAAGAGAGAGGAGATTAGAACTTTAGCTTCTGGAATCTTAATTCAGTCTCATCTAAAAGATTTTACTGACACTTCCAAACCCATAGCCAGCAACTCACGTTTTGTTGTTGTATGGCTGATTCTGACAGATCTCTGGGGACAGGTAGTAAGGTGTTCCAATACAAGTTCGAGCAAGCTCCATGGAACTGGCAAATTACATTAAATCATAAAACATTGTGGTTTATTACTGGAGTAGGAAAGCCATGGACATCAAGAAAAATGTAAAAACATAACAAAATCTGATGCATGTATTAGAAGAAAGCAAAACACTGTACATTGACAACAGCGTAATAAAATCAGTAGATTTTTAAACCTGTAATTCACCCACACACAGTTTTTGGTTATTGTTGTTTGGTTTTTTGAGACAGGGTCTCACTGTGTAGTTCATGCTGGCCTTGAACTCACAGCAATCCTCCTGCCTCAGCCTCCCAAGTGCTGGAATAACAGGCATGTCCCATCATGTCCAGCTACCCCCACAAATATAATTTGGGGGTATTAAAATATAGATTTACCTCTAGTGAAAATGAAATAAAATAAAATATCTATTTGAAAATATACATCCTGATAATGGGAGTGTGGCTCAATGATAGAGCACTTGCCTAATATGCACAAGACCCTGAGTTCAATCTCCAGTACTGAAAAAAAAAGAAAAAAGTCTAAAACCTCAAAACAATTCCCTTAAAAATTAATTTTAGTATTTCCTACATATATTTTTCACATAACTATCACCATAGTATGTTTATAATAACGTGTTTATAATTCAGAATTCCATTTTCTTTACTTAATATAATGAAGTGCCAGGCATAGTGTCACACACCAGTAATCCCAGCACTCAGGAGGCTGAGGCAGGAGGATCACCATGAGTTCGAGAATAGCCTGGGCTACATAGTGAGTTCAAGTTCAACCCAAACTACATATCAAAACCCTATCTCAAAAAATAAAAAACTGGGCCAGGGATTTAGCTCAGTGGTTTTGCTGCCTGCTGAGCAAGCGCAAGGATCCGAGTTTGATCCCTGGTACCAGAAAAAAAAAAAGAATGTGTATTCTGATTTTGGGCCGGGGATTTAGGTCAGTGGTTCCGCCACCTGCCTCACAAGCACAAGGTCCCGAGTTCGATCCCTGGTACCAAAAAAAAAAAAACAAAAAAGCCCCCAAAAAACTACTTAATATAATGAAGTATTTCCTTAGGTTACCAAGAAGTTTTCAAAACCTTAAATGTTTTTGAAAATATTATAAACATTTTATTAAATTTAAATAACTATTTTCCAATTCTTACTAAATAATTAAATTATTACTTAAATTACTTCAAATTTCAAATTATTCTCTTGGAATAAATTTCCAGAAATAGGACATTTAAACATATCCTGATATTAAACCAAATTGTCTTCCAAAACAGCTGCACCGGTGCCTTACCCTATCACATGTAAACCTGCATGTTTTACTAAGTTCTCACTAGCTTTATGCATACAACAGTCACATCCCATATTTAACAAACTTGTATCACACCAAACATCACCACCATCATTTTATTATGCTGCAATTTATGTTGGGAATCTTAATTACAGACATTTGAATGATTTAATGCTTGTGTGTGTGTTTGTGAGTGTAATAGGGACTGACTCTGGGGCCTTCACAATGAGTCACATCCCTAGCCTTTTAAATAATTATTTAATTTTTTATTTCTTGAACTAGGGTCTCAGTATGTAGTTCAAACTGACATTGAACTCACTATGCAGCCCAGGCTGGGCTTGAACTTGTGATCCTCCTGCCTCGGCATCCTGAGTGCTGGGATTATAGGAATGTGCCACCATACCCGATTTAAAACTTTTATTTTTTATACAAGGTCCAGGCTGGGATTGGATTTGTGATCATCCTGCCTCAGCCTCCCAAAGTGCTTGTGAGGTGCCTGTGCCACCATGCCCAGACTGCATTTATATAAAGTTACCTAAAATTACTCAGACAACCAAGTTTGTAATATCCTATTTATTTATTTATTTATTTTGGTACCGGGGATCAAACTTGGGACCTTGTGCTTGCGAGGCAGACAGAGGCACCACTGAGCTAAATTCCCAGCCCCTTTGGCCATTTTGAATGAAAAGAAAAAATAATTTTTCAAGGTTCTTACTTGTTCAGGACTCTTGCTACACCAAAGTCCCCAAGCTTTGCAATCATTCCATTCTTGCAAAGAAAAATGTTCTAAAAATGGAGAAAATGTTATATTATTTGAAATATTTCAATGAAAGATTCATTCTGTTTTAGTCTTCTGAGTGGTTACCTGAGCTTTTACGTCCCTGTGTAATATCTTCCTGTCATGAATATATTTTAGGCCAAGAGAAATTTGTACAAACCAAGCCAGGATCTGCAGCGGGAAACACAAAACAAAACAATTGAAGTGTCTGGTAGTCATCGAAATGTCTTCACGATAACATGTGAAAAAGAGAAATAATATACTGTATGTGTGATTATAGAAACAAAGCCAGTAAAGATACATTATTTTCACTTTTCAGCTAAAAAATGGAGGTACAGAAGAGCAATCCAAACTCCATTAATATCAAAGGGAATCTCATGCAGAAAAAAAATAAACAGAAGCAAGGGAGATACAGAGGCCATTCAGGATTTTCTTTTTTCTTATTTAACACTGGGTTGCCAACTGCAAATACAGTGGTTGTCTATGCTTCCTATAACCCTGATAATCCTGGTACCACTGAGTTTTTCTTCTTGTGAAACAGAAGGTGCCAAGAAGAGTGTGAAAGAAGGAGAAATGGAGAATTTGCAAGGTTGTTAAAAATTGTAATAATTTTGAGAGGCAGAGGCAGGAGGATCAGAAGTTCCACCCCAGCCTGCGCAACTCAGCAACTTAGACCTTGTCTCAAAATACAAATAAAAATATTTTTTAAAGGGTTGAGGATGTAGCTCAATGTGAATGCCCTGGCTTCAAAGTACAATAAGAACAGTAAAATCTAGTTTGTTTGTTTGTTTGTTTGTTTTTTGGTACCGGCAATCGAACTCCAGACCTTGTGCTTTCGAGGGAGGCAATGGAACCACTGAGCTAAATTCCCGGCCCAAAATATAGTATTTTTAAATGCAATAAAAACTGTTTAGTCAATAATAAGTTATGTAAAGGTGTGATTTTATTCCTACAAATATATATTTTTAAAGTTGCAGTACATATTTCCTGTAGGTCTCTTTCTCGTAGTTATTCAATCAGTCTTTTTAGTACATCAATTGAACTGTTTTATCCTATGTGTAAATGGATATGCAAAGACAAAGTCTGTGTTAAGGCTTATACCTAGATGTCCCCCAAGGCCTTGCGTACTCATACATGGGGAGTTTCAAAGGTGGCTGGGTTAGAGTGTGTAAATGTGGATTAAGTGCGTGATACTGGGACTAAGGGGGTGGATAATGGAAGCCCCACCCTGGGTGTGGGCAGTACTAATCAATAGGCTTACACATTGGATGGAATATAAGGAACAGAAAGAAGGCAGGTTGCTGCTGCTGCTTGCTGCCTTCTACCTGCCATGCCATGGACTATTTCTCCTCTGCTATGCCCCTGTGTTATGCCACCCTGCCTTGGAGCCAGCCAACTATGGACTGAAACCTCCATAAACTATGAGCTGAAATAAACCTTTTCTCTTTTAACTTGTGGGTGTTGGGTATTTTGTCTCAGCAATGAGAAAATTAACTAAGTCTGCAAGCAAAGGAAATTGTAAGAAAGAAACCAAGAGACAGAGGGAGCAAGCAAGGAGGTGAGGAAAAGGGAAGTAAAAAGAATTAAGAAATGTTATGTGAAGGAGTCCAACTGCCACCGTCCTAGGCTGACCAGAGACCACTTTAAACCTCTTCCATCCTGCTATGCTTTTACACCTGCTAACGATGTATACATTATCATGGGTTAATAAGGCCCAGTAACTGTGTCTACACCCCATAACTCCCATCATTCTTCAGCCCTGCTCCTGTCTTTTCTCAAGCCTTATCCCTGACAGGTAGCCACAACTCCTTTTTACTGAACTCTCCCCCTTGAAAGTCCCATTCTGAGCTTTTCCTTTCACAGACCCCTTTTATGCTCAGGACACTATAAGAGACCTTAGAGCCTGTTTGAGAGTTACTGCTCTGGTCTAAGTGCCATGGTGGTCCCTCTCAGGTTTGTTCTGAAATAAACTTGTCCTGTTGAGCTCATATCTTTGTTTTTTCCTCCTTTTTCCTAACGTTATATACATGTACCAACTTCCCATGATGAATGTAATCATTATGTATTGCAAATATATACTAATAAAAATTGAAATTAAAAATGAAAATTAAAAAGAAGAAATTGTAACAAAATAACTACTACAATGAAACCCATCAATTTGTATAATTTATATATATTAATTACAGTAAAAATAAAATAACTACATATCTAATATAAAACCAACAAATACCCTACTTTTAAAGTTTGGGGCTGAGGATGTAGCTCAGTGGTAGAGCACGGGCTGGCAGCCCAAAGATTTCATTCCTAGTGCTCCATAAAAAGGAGGAAAAAAAGCTCAATTTGATTTCTTAGGATTTAATCTTAGTTGGCCATGAATCTATTAAAGTGTGTTGTGTGGCTACAGAGATTCATTTAAACTCCTGAAATTTCACTTTTTCTTTGTCTGTGAAATTACATGGGAAGAGGAAATAACAGAAGAAAAAAGGCCAAATTCTAGAGTCAGCTGTCATGTTAGGAAAGACCTAACATAGAGAAATATAATTAAAATTTTTTCCTGAAAAACATTTTTGTGAAATGTGGCAAAATAACACCTAGGTAAAAAGAAAGGAGGGTTTCTGTAAATATGGATTTTAATATATAATCTATATGAATTTAGGAAAAATGCTTGATTAATATTCCTTGATAATTCATACATTCAAAATATTCTACTTTTGGGGGGAGTTGTTTGGATTTTTGAGACAGCATGGTTTCACTGTGTAGTTCAGGCTGGCCTTGAACTCACTGAGATCCTGCTGCCTCAACCTCCTGAGTGCTGGGATTACAGGTGTGTAACTTCAGTTCTAGGAGTAAATTACATGGGCATGATGTTTTTAAATGCTAAAAGAAACAAATGGCCAAAAGAAAGCTAGCGAGCCATTCCTGTGTGCTGTTTAAGGTAGTGGTCTCACCCCTCAGTCACACAGGACCTCTTTTGGATTCGTACTCACACACAAACCTGTGTCCTTTAAGAGCACAGCTCCCTGAGGGTTCCAAAGAAAGCGCAGAGTCTAGTGGAAAAAAGTGTTTGTGGAGAGAAAATGGGGACTGAGGTCATTATATTTCACCTCTTCTCTCCATCTCTTAATAACCAACAAAATGGGATAGGGGCACAGCACACTGTTAGAGCGCTTGCCTAGTGTGCTCAGGGCCCTGGATCCCATCCCAAGCACCACAGATGATAACAAAAATGACCAATGAAATTAAATAGGCATTGCTAAGGAGATGGGCTATTCTCCTTGGCAAAGTGGAAAGCTGTTTTATAATGGGGTGAAAATGGTAGAAGAAAAACATGTGAAGTTCTAAATATGTTACATTTAAAATGCCTAAAGAACATATACATTCAGATTCTTTTTTAGCCATGAAGGCTGATCTCAGAGGCATTCTATGTGAGCTATACAGAGAGAGCATCATTTTTTTTTTTTAAGAAAAAATCTTGGCCAGGCCTACAGTGCCTGTAATCCCAGCCACTCAGGAGGCTGAGGGGAGGATCACTAGTTTGAGGTCCACCTGGGCAATTTAGCAAGGGCTCCACATCAAAATAAAAAGTGCTGGGGCTGTAGCTCAGTGCTAGAACATTTGCCTAGCATGTGTGTGGCCCTGGGTTCAATACCCAGTAACACAAAAGCAGGGAGGGAAGGACAGAGGTAGGAAGGGGTGGGAGAAAAAGTCTCAATTTCAGTTCAACTGCAAACATTCTAGACAAAATCTACCAAGAATATTGATCCACTATTTTTTGGTTTGAATTTTTCTACCTAAAACTATGCTTCACATAAACATGGTCTACTACTTATGACATTCTAAATGTAATAACCCACACACAAATTAATCTAAATTAAACTAACATTATGTTAACAAATTAACATAAATTAAAAAGCAAATGAAAAGTTTTTACCTGATCTTCACCAAATAACACTCCTTGTTGCCTGTGGATCCTTTTCATGAGATCCCCTCCATCACAATATTCCATTACAATAAACAGCCTGTTGTTCTCTGTAAGAAAAGGCATCCTTTGGTACTGGAAGAATATCAGATATTTATCAATCATTTGCCTTTCAAATTTAGAAAGTGGGAAATATAACAGAAAAGTGCAGAATATAATAGTTAAATATTCTGGCTATAAAATCAAGATGGACTGGAATGTGGTGGCCTATGCCTGACATCCCAATATTCAGAGGAGCTGAGGCTGGAGGACTGTAAGTTCAAGCCCGCCTGGTAATTTAGCAAATTAGTGAGACCCTATCTCAAAATTAAAAATAAAAAGGGGCCGGCGGGGGGGGCGGGGATTTAGCTCAGTGGTGCCACCCATTGCCTTGCAAGCGCAAGATCCCGAGTTCGATTCCCGGTACAAAAAAAAAAAAGGGAGGAGGGTTGGGTATGTAGCTCAGCGCAGTGACCCTAAGTCCAGTACCCAGTAGCACATACACAAAAAAGGAATGAGATCTAATCCCACTACACCACTTACCTTCCTTCCTTCCTTCCATCCTTTCATCTATCAATCTATTTTTCTTTTTGCAGTGCTGGGATGAGGTCCAGGGCAAGCATGCTACCACTGAGCCACACCCGCACCCAGCCCACCACTTTCATTTCTTAGCTTTGTAATTCAAGGTAAGTTACTTTCTCTGTGCCTCATTAGTTCATCTGTAAATGGAAATAATAATATAGAAACTTCCTCTTAGGGTTGTTAGAAAGATTTAATGAGTTAATTCACGCCAGATGTTTAGAACAATGCCTACACTTATGAGAGTTCAATAAATATTGACTATTATATTCTTAGAAGAGATTAGAAACCAGATATAAAAATAGCAGCTCTTCCCTAATATCCCAGGAAGAATTAATAGCCCCTTCTTGAATTTGGGTATAAATTTATAATTATATGGCATTAAAACAACCATGCTGCTGACTACAATAAAAACTATACTACCTAGTGCCAGGTGTAGTGGCGCACACCTGTGATCCCAGCACACGAGAGGCTGAGGCAGGGTGATTGTCGAAAGTTCAAGGTCAACTTAGAATATACAAGACCCTGTCTCAAAAAAAAAAAAAAAGAAAAGAAACTGTACTACCTGACTTCTGCCTAACCTACTAACCAGATAACTGGTCAATCCTATTACTGTTTTCCACTCAAATTTACCACTACTGGCTACCAGTCTTTCTATGATATCCAAGTACCTCTACTCCTTCCAATTAAACAGATTCTTACCAAGATCATTGCTCCCACGTCTGTATATGTCATTTATACTTGTCACTGTAAATTTTTTTGTTCCCTCCATGAGGGTTCCTGGAGGTACTGTAATACCAGGTCAATGTACAGAGTAGATGGAGCAAGTTCCTATTCTATGACCCAGCTCCAAAAATCCATTTAATATATTGTCCTTAGATAGAGGACATATCAGATATTAAACAGATAAGAACAGATACTGTACTTGATCTCAGCCAAAAGGCCTGGAAATCACTGTCATTTATTACATAAATTATTATTTATTAAACATAAACTGATGAAATATGGATGGAAAAAGAAAAATGTAATTATTTCTACAAAAAAAATTAGAAAAACTACATTGAATTATTTTTAGGATTCAGTAAAAGTGAGTATCTAAAAAACAAAAACAAAAACAAAAACATTGACCTGAACATTAATTGGAACAAATAAAACATACCTGAAAAGCTCTAAATGAATTGTGAACACAAATTACTCAATAAATTCTTACTCCACATGGAAATCCTCCACCCAGTACTGAAGATTGAACCCAAGGCCTTGGCAATGAAATACATTCTCAGCCCTTTTTATTTTTTATTTTAATACAGGGTCTCATTAATTTGCTAAGTTACCAAGGCTGAGCTCAAACTTCCAATCTCTCTACCTCTTTCTTCCACAGTGCTAGTGAGGTAGGAGATTAGGGCGTGGCCAGCCAGCTAGGCAAGTTGAAGTGATGTGCCAATACTGGAGACCCAGTATACACGTGCCCAAGCCCTGCACCTAGGCACCAATCAGAAAATGCTATCTTCAGTTCTTCTGGCACAAGATCAAGGAGCTTTCTGATAGGGCAGCCTAGATCTGACATCAGTGTGTGTGTGGCGGGGAGGTATCAAAGATAGCTGCCATTGACCTCACTGCCGCTGTGCTCTCTCTTTCTCATGGCTGGTTCCCACTCTACAGAGCATACTTCTTTTCCTACCTTTAATAAATGTAAAATCTTGCTACCTTTTTCATGTGTTTTGTCCAATTCTTTGTTTAGGACACCAAGAACCTGGGAAATATTCTGTAGAAGGAGCCCACAGCACCCTAGAACCCCAGTAACACTGGGAATAAGGAAACTAGAAATTCTAAACAAGGAATATAGCTTATACAAGGAAGACTAAAAAGACAAAGCCTTGGCCTTGCATCAAAGTTTGATAAATGATTGTATAGTTACATGTAAAAATAGGGTTGTTGTGATCTGAATGTTTGTACCTCCTAAAAATTTATATATTGAAATTCTAACTCCCAAAATAACAGTATTAAGATACAGGGGTTTGGGGAGGTAAGTAAGCAGTGAAAGCAAAGCCCTCAGTCCTCATGAATAGGATTAATGTGCTTATAAAAGAGGCCAAATAAGAGCCAGGGCTACTCAGTGAGACCTTGTCTCAACAAAACAAACATAAAGAGGCCCAAGAAAAATTCCTTTCCCCTTCCACCAGGTGAGGACTCTGAAAGTGAACTCTTTCCAGATACTGAATCTGCCAGTATCTTGACCTTGGACTTCTCGGACTCCAGAACTATGAACAATAAATGTCTGTTGTGGAAAAGCTACACAGAGCCAGATGTGATAGCCCACACTTATAATCCAAGCACTCCAGAAGGCTGAGGCAGGCAGATCAGAAGTATAAGCCCAACCCTGGCAATTTAGTGACTTAATGAGACCCTGTCTCAAAACAAAAAAGGGCTGGGGATATAGCTCAGCATGAAGGCCTGGATTTGAGGTAGGATAGAAGAAATAACAGGGAGAAAGGAGACAAGGAATTCAAAATGAAAAATTGTACTTTTAAGAAGACTGGGCCGGGGATTTGGCTCAGTTGTTTTGCCGCCTGCTGTGCAAGCACAAGGACCTGAGTTCGATCCCTGGTACAAAAAAAAAAAAAGAAGACTGCAACTTCTGGGCCCCAGCTGACGTTATCCAGGGTGACCCACATCATCCCTTAATTAAATTTAGGCTCCTTCCCTACCAGACCCATCACACCTGAAATTCCTTGGGTACACTGAAAAGCCCATAGAATGGCTCAGTTTAAAAAAGGAAAGAGCAAGAGCCTGATCCTAAGATAAAGGAACAGACTGAGAGAATTCAAAGAATGCTTAAATTATCCATCTTTAAAACCCAAAAAACCAGGCCGGGGATGTAGCTCAGCAGCACAGCGCTTGCCTGAAAAATAAATAAATACATACATACATACATACATACATACATACAAACATACATACATACAAAAAACCCTGGGCTCATACCTGTAAAATGGGCCAGTACCCTTGTGGAGATGGTCCACCTTTTCTGGAGGTTTCCACCCCCTTGAGAGAAGCATAAATGTTCCCTATTCCAGGAAATGATGTGCCTCTCTCTCTTGAGGGCCAGCACCCTATTTCTCTGAGTTGTGCAATGGACCCTCACATTATGACTGGCCTGACATACGAACAACTTGGGTTAATTAGGTGAATGGAGCATTCATCCACCTCTTGTTATCTACAGCGTGTACCCAGGTAAACATCCAGATCTCAGCTGTACTGACTTACAACCAACTTGAGTTACAACCAGCCCTCAGGAATGGATCCAGTTTGTAAGTTGAGGGTCTACTGTACTAAAACTCTGCTTCAGAGCCTCTAACTTACACAACCAGAAAATTCTTTTTCCGCGACAGTAGTCAGTGAACCTGGGGGCCCATTTTATGTGTAGGGTGGGTTATGTTCCTTAACCATTTTCAGACCCAGTCTGGTGACAGTCAGTTGGCCCAACGCCTAAAAAGAGCTATCTGGGGGCATGATGAGTGTGTGTACGAAAACCATCAAACATGTGATAGGTCTGACCCATTTGACAATCCCAGCCGCCCAAGTTCCTGAGCTCCAAGACAACCACAGCCCATTCCTACATCCCACAGCCCTGAGCATCCGAACAGTGCCAACTCTGCTGGACAGGAGACACTGCCCCACCTGTTTGCTCACAGCCCCTCTGTAGCCACATACTCAGCCGTTCTCAGTCTCACCACCACTTTCTGTCACCCCACCCAAGCCCATCTCACTACCCCCAACCCTATCTGTAAAAGACCCAGCTCAATAGACTAAACTCGGTTTCTCCTTTGGAATTACTGCAGGAGGCCCCGCCTGGAACCCCCAGATTCAGGCTGGTTGTGTTCTTTACTGGGTCTCACCATTTACCTAACACTGTATTCTCTGCATGTATGAATCTGCCAAAATGAACGCAATTAATTTGTATGATTAACATATATTTTTAAAAAGCTACCCAGTATTTTGTTACAGCAGCCAAAATAAAATAGGAAATAACATTTCCTACTTTATCTAGCTTTTGTCATTAACCAACCAACCACCAGGTAGAAACTCATTAGAAAAAAGAGCTTGTACTAACTTATTTTTTCTTCACTAGCATATGGGCTCTGTAGACAAACTCCATGTTATTGTTTTATATTCACAGTATTCCCTGCACCAAGCACAGGAAAGAGGTAATAAAGTAAGGTTTTTTGGATGAATTCATAAAAATGCCTAAAAAACACACAAAATCAGGTTTATAAGTAGTTGTTTAACTTTCTAATATTTTCCTCTACTGTTACTTAATACTCACTAAATGCTGGAATTTCTTGCTAAAGATCTATTGCTTGCTAGCATTTTTTTTTTTTTTTTTTTTTTGAGACAAGGTCTCACTACATAGATCAGGCTGGCCTCAAACTCACAGCAATCCTCCTTCCTCATCTTCCCAAGTGCTGGGATTACAGGTATGCACCACCATGCTCATCTCTTGTTCTACCTTTTTGTTTCAAGTAGCTTATATCAATTTTGAAGTGGCTATCGGTGACCTGACAATACTTTCCCTCAGTCCTAATTCACAAACTGTTTCTTCTTTCATATAACACTTCCATTTTCCCTGCTCCTTTCTTTAAAGGACAGATATAGTTCTCATCAACAAACTTACACTGAGGACATGTGATAAGTAAAGAATGCTGTGTTAGGAATTGAAAGCAAGCCACCCTTCCTGCTGCTAGGATTGCAACTTCCAGTCCTGCGTCCTGAGAGGAGTGCTGTTTGGAAGCCACCAGGCTCACAGTGAGCAGTGGCCAAGCCTGCTCTCTGTCTTGGGGGGATGTCAGCTCATCCCCCAAAATCATTCACTGCACTCAACCTCCTGAGAAAAAGCCCAAGCCCACAGTGGTCAGGGTTTGGCATTCCCAGCAAAAACTGAAGAGAGATGCCCAGGACCCATGGCAAACTGCCTCTCCAGTACCCTGGATGGTCCTTCAACACCTTGGGCTTCCTCTTACCTTGAGCCTTGCAAGGGGTTGTTTCCTTAGCCTACAAAGCTCCTTTTAAAATACAGGAGGACTCTCCCCATCTCCTCTGAATCTTTGCTACAATGTCACCTTCACGATGAGACCATCCTGAGTATCCTATTTGAAACCACACCCTACTCTACCTCACCCCATTCTATTTCTGAGTATGAAGCACTTACTGCCTTTAACATACTAAATAATGTAGTTATTAATTTAATTATGTTTCCATCTTTTCTCCTTCTCTCCCCATCCCCTCCAAGAATGTAAGCTCCACAGTGGGAAAAGGCAGACTTGGTACAAACAGTGGCTTATATAACTTTCTCCCCTCGAGTGAGGGCAGAACCATTACATTATGCAACAAAAAAATTTTGCTGGTGCATTAAAGTTACTAAACAGCTGTTTTCTGGTTTTGTTTTGCTTTGGGTAGTGATATAGTGAATTGAACCTCAGGCCTTTGTATTGAACTACTCTCCCAGGCCTTTTTAAAAATTTTGTGACAGGACCGGGGATTTAGCTCAGTGGTTCCATCGCCTGCCTCTCAAGCACAAGGTCGCGAGTTCGATCCCCAGTACCAAAACAAAATCAATAAATTAAAAAAAAAAAAATTTTGGTGTTCACAGCCGCCGCCGCGCCGCCGCCGCTCTCCAACGCCAGCGCCGCCTCCAGCTCGCCGAGCTCCAGCTGAGGGAGAAGTGGGTAAGGACAGCGCCGCCTCCAGCTCGCCGAGCTCCAGCTGAGGGAGAAGGGGGTAAGGAGGTCCCTGTACCATGGCTCGTACAAAGCAGACTGTCCGCAAATCCACTGGTGGTAAAGCGCCCAGGAAACAACTGGCTACAAAAGCCTCTGGTAAGAGTGTGCCCTCTACTGGAGGGGTGAAGAAACCTCATCGTTACAGGCCTGGGACTGTGGCTCTCCGTGAAATTAGACGTTATCAGAAGTCCACTGAACTTCTGATTCGCAAACTCCCTTTCCAGCGTCTGGTGCGAGAAATTGCTCAGGACTTCAAAACAGATCTGCGCTTCCAGAGTGCAGCTATTGGTGCTTTGCAGGAGGCAAGTGAGGCCTACCTGGTTGGCCTGTTTGGAGATACTAATCTGTGTGCCATCCATGCCAAACGTGTAACAATTATGCCAAAAGATATCCAGCTAGCACGCCGCATACGTGGAGAACGTGCTTAAGAGTCCATTATGGGGGGAAGCATTTCATTCTCAAAAAAGTTTTTTTCTCTTCTTCCTGTTATTGGTAGTTCTGAATGTTAGATATTTTTTTTCCTTGTGGTCAAAAGGTACCTAAGTACATGATTGCGAGTGGAAAACAGGGGACAGAAATCAGATATTGGCAGTTTTTCCATTTTCATTTGTGTGTGAATTTTTAATATTAATGCGGGAATGTAAAGCATTAATGCAAGTCAAAATGTTTCAGTGAACAAGTTTCAGCAGTTCAACTTTATAACAGTTATAAATAAACCTGTTAAATTTTTCTGGACAATGCCAGCATTTGGATTTTTTTTAAACAAGTAAATTTCTTATTGACGGCAACTAAATGGTGTTTGTAGCATTTTTATCATACAGTAGATTCCATCTAGTCATTATATTTTTCTGAGTTGTCTTAAACATGCTAGTACATGTTTTTAATGTTGTCTGTCTTTCTGTGCTGTTCCTGTAAGTTTGCTATTAAAATACATTAAACTGTTAAAAAAAAAAATTTGTAACAGGGTCTTACTAAATTCCTAAATTACCTAGGCTGGGCTCAAAGTTGGAATTCTCCTGCCTCAGCCTCATAGAGTGCTAGGATTACAGGTGTGTACCAGCATATCAGTCTTAATCAGTTGGTTTTAAGTAAATAATAATAATAAAAGAGTATCCAGTTAGTTAGGGCCTAACCTAATTACATGAGCCATTTAAATCTGGGTGTAGTCAGAGACAGAGGAAGTGAGGGTTCCCCAATGCCATTGAGGGCCATATGGCAGGCACTGAAGTTCACTTCTCAAGGCAGAGAGCAGCTTCTAGTCAACAGCCAGCAAATGAGTGGAGCCCAAGTCCTACAATTACAACTAAATAAATTCTGCTATCAATGTGAATAAGCTCGGAAGAGGACCACAAGCCACAGAAGAGACAGCAGTCCTAGTTGACACCTCGATTTCAACTATGTGAGACCCCGAGCAGAGATGCCTGCTAAGCCGAGACCAGAATGCCAACCTTCTGAAAGTAAGAGATAACATCAGGGAAAAGAAAGAGAGAAGGAGAGCAAGGGAAAGAAAATGAAAGTGGGGAAAAGGGAGAAGATGAAGAAAAAGAAAAGAGAAAATATATTGATATTGTTTTAAAGCCATTAAATGTATATTTATTTGAGATGCTGCAAAAGAAAATAAATACAGCAGTGCAAGTATTTTTGTCTATTTGATTCACTGACAGATCCCCAAGACCTAGAACTTGCCTACCATATAAGAGACAGTTAAAGAATTTAAATGGAATTAACTTAGCCCTAGGAAAATATCACTAGAGTCTCATATTTTTGTTGTTTTAGTTGCCTCAAACCCATAAAAAAATCTCATATTTTCCAAAGACGAACATGAGAGCTTGAGTTTTGGTTTGATTGTTTGTCTGTTTGTCTGTTTGTTTGAGACAGGGACTCCTTATGTAGCTCAGGCTGGCCCTGAACTCACTAGAAGCCTAGACTGGCCTCATACTCATGGTGATCCTCCTACCTCAGCCTCCAGAGTTCTGGGATTATAGACATAGGCCATATGCCCAGTTACAGTTTTAGTTCTTATGTTCAGAGTTAAGCAGTTTGGGCTCAATAAAGCCTGTATTTACACTCTCTCAAGTCAGCTACGAGAAGATTCTCTGAGGCTTTTGAATAAACTCATGTTTCAAGTACCAACAATTTGCCAAGCAAACACACAGGCATCACAACAGCTCTAGTTTTCCGAAACACAGGGGAACTCTACTTTAAAAACATAAAAAGCAGTCATAAGAAAACTTAAATGTACAATATAAACAAACTCAGTGGAGGCTATTTAAACTGTAAACATGACCTTAGTTTTGTATTAGTGTCCAATAAAAACTGCCCTCCAGAGTTCATTTTGTATGGACTATTATTATTATTGTGTCTATGAAAATGGTCCAGTCCATTCACTTGTTGAGCAGCTAATATGTGCCACACACCAAGGAGCAAAGGGAGCTGCTATTTGCCATATGTAGAGGAGCAAAAGAGACAGAGTCCCCAAATTCATGAAGCTTACTGTCCTCATATTTTGAAGCTTACTGTCCTCATATCAAACCCAAGATTTCACTGCAAATGTTAGTCAAGTGCTATAATGAGGCAGGAGATTAGGGTGTGGTAGGCTGGCTGGGAAAATAGGCATGGTCTGTTAATTTAGAAGTTCCAGGACACAAGCACAGAACAGTTCCCAAAGCCTTGCATGTGGACTTCCCAAAAGAACTTGAGAACATTCTCCCTAACTAGCAAATCCCAGTATATACAAAGCTGTTCTCTTGTTCTGCTTTTTTACATGTTCATGTAGAAAATTACATTAAGGATCTATAGGAATATTCTCTAGTGGAACAAACATGCTTTCTATAAAAAGGCAGACAGATAGGTAATGATGTTTTTAGTTCTAACTTTATTTTATTTTTTTGGTACTGGGGATTGAACTCAGAACCTTACACTTGTGAGGCAGGCAGTGGAACCACTGAGCTAAATTCCCACCCCCCTGTAATGATGTTTTTAATGTTTCAGAAGCCTAATTTTTTAAACAGCAGTTACACTTCACTAAATTGATATTTGGCTCATGGTTTAGCATGTTTCTGAAATACACATTTAGTGTATGGAAATTCAAGTCAATTAAAGGGCTGTTTGGCTAGCATCTCATCTTCCACTCTGATCATTTGGCAAGAAAGGGAGATGTGGGCCAGGGATATATAGCTCAGTGTCGTTGCACCTGCCTGGCAAGCACAAGGTTCTGAGTTTAATCCCTGGTCCCGGGTGGGGGGATTTCAAAATTGTATTTCTTGACAGTAACTATTCAATAAATGTATCTGTAAGAGTTTCTTTGTAAATATTATGTGTTCTGGTGTGTTTTAAGATTCCACACTTGCTCTTAGCCAAAAGGTTCAGAAGTGATGTGTCTTAAGATTCCAAACAAAATGATCCCTGCATTTCCTGAAGATGTTTAGTAACAGCCTGGTAACCAAAGGAGTCTGAGGAAAAAATAGAAAATGCAGAAGTACGTTTTGTTTGGTTGCATATAATCTTTACTTTTTTTTTTTCAGCATCAGGGATCAAACTTGGGACCTTGTGCTTTCGAGGCAGGTGGCAGAACCACTGAGCTAAATCCATGGCCCTAGTCTTTACTCTTTTTAAGCTTTGTGAGTTCTGAAATACATTTTTGGGTTACTTCAGTGTTTCACAAGAAAGCCTGAAATTTCTATCAAACAAATGAGCATTGTTTTGGTTGTCTGTTTTTTGGTACTAGAAATCGAACTCAGGGCCTCGTGTTTGCCAGGCAGGTGCTATGCTGCTTAGCTACATGAGTACATCCCCGGGTCCTCATTTGTTTTTGTTTTTGTTTTTGTTTTTGTTGGTACCGGGGACCAAACTCCGGTCCTTGCACTTGTGAGGCAGGCGGCAGAACCACTGAGCTACATTCCTGACCCCTTGTTTGGTTTTTTGAGACAAGGTCTTTCTATGCATTTCAGCCTGGCCTCAAATTTACAGCAATTCTCTTGCCTCAGCCTCTCGAGTGCTGGGCTTACAGACATGTGCCACCATGCCCAGCTTCAAACAAATGACTTTGATGTTGCAACAAATCTTTGTAAAAACCACTAAAATAAAATTTTTTTTAAAAGAAAAAGAGGCTCTTCTCAGGGCGACTAGAAAGCCGCGCCAGCATAAGCAGGTGAGACAAGCAGCGTGAAGCTCCTCAGCTCCATCCCGGGCCCCGCCCACGCCACGGTGAGGTCCCAGGCGCGGCTTGGAGCCCCGCCCCCATCCTGCGCTCTGCTTAGCCACGCCCGCGCCTCCAAGGCCAAGTCCCACTCCCCCCACCCCC